CCCCGGGGGAGGGCAAACCCCGGCCCCCGCCAGCCGAACGGACCCTCAGCTCTTCCCCTCTCCCTGCCACCCGCGGCGGGAAGCGCTCACCGTCCCAAATTATTGTAATTACGGGGTTGCGGCGCGGCTGTTGCGGCACTGACAATCCCCGGTTGAAGGTTGTGCCCTTCCGAAAGAGGACGGGGCGCGATTAATGCGCTTAAAGAAACCGGAGAGATGCCCGCCGCCGCTCGAAGCTGTTAATAATGCGTAAACGCCGGCGCCGGCTTCTTACAGAAGGCTTGAGAGGGCAGGAAAAATACCGAGGGGATCTCTTAACGACGCCACGGTTCATTTGCCGGCGGCGCGGGGAGCTCTGATCGCCTGTCGTGGCGATCCCCGTGTCTCTCGGCTTTCGCTGGACGAGGGGACGTCTCCGTCCCCCGTGAATATTGCATCAAATTGCGTCTTCGCCTCGCGGAGGAGATTATTTTCGGCGACGCTTTCCCCAAACAGGGATCCGGGAAGGAAGGCGGTGTTTCCCTCTCCCGGCGGACGCGTGCCGGGAGTGGAATGAGGGGTTTTGGGATGGTTGGGATGAGCGCTGAACCCTTTTTGTTTTGTCGCGGCAGGCTCGGGGAACAGTGCTACAGGGAGGCCATGGAGCAGTGCCACAACTACAACGCCCGGCTCTGCGCCGAGAGGAGCGTTCGCCTCCCTTTCCTTGATTCCCAAACCGGGGTGGCCCAAAGCAACTGCTACATCTGGATGGAGAAACGTCACCGAGGGCCGGGTACGCCGGGAAAACGCCGGGATGGGGACAAAGGGGTCGGTGCCTGTCATCGCCTCGGTTAATTTTGTTTTTTTTTCTTTAATTAAAGGTTTAGCCGCTGGGCAGCTTTACTCCTACCCCGCGCGGCGCTGGCGGAAGAAACGTCGTGCGCATCCGCCGGAGGACCCGAGGCTTTCCTTCCCTTCTATCAAACCCGGTAAATCCTTCCCACCGCCGCTTTCTTCACATGGGTTTGGGTTTTTTTGCCAATACCGTGCCCAAACAGCACCAAACGATGGTAAACATCGGTGAGGGTTGGTGAACCCCTTCACCGGACCCCGCTGCGGCGGGGAAGCTTGCGAACGCGGCTGGGTAAGGCGGGATGGCTGGGTAAGGTGGGATCTCGGCGCGTGCCAACCTTTCCCCCCTGATTTTTTTTTTTCCCCCCTCCGCCGGCTCCTTGCAGACACCGACCAGACCCTGAAGAAGGAAGGGCTGATCTCTCAGGACGGCAGCAGCCTGGAAGCTCTGTTAAGGACCGATCCCTTGGAGAAACGTTCCCTCCCGGATCCCCGCATCGACGACGACAGCCTGGGCGAGTTCCCTGTCACCAACAGCCGCGCGCGGAAGGTACGGCAGAGAGAGGATCTCTCCCCCTCCTCCTCTGCGTTGGGAAAGGGAATTTGAGGGTAAAACACGCACATCTCCCCCACCCCGCTCGGATTTTCCACCCCCTTCCTCTTCCCTTCCGCTTTCTCTGCGTCTTTTACCCGCGGCAGAAGGATTTGGCATGGATTTGGGGGATCTGGCCCCCAAAGTTCAGGGGAAGGGAGTGTGTGGCCCCAAAATTCAGGGAAAGGGAGTTTCTGCCTCCAAAATTCAAGGGAAGGGAGTTTCTGGCCCCAAAATTCAGGGGAAGGGAGTGTGTGGCCCCAAAATTCAGGGGAAGGGAGTTTGTGGTGGTCGTGAATCACGGTAACTGGTTCCAAAAGGGTTTTTGACTGGTTCCAGGTGGAAGTTGGTGGTGATGCTTGGCTGATGGTTTGGCCTCTTCCCGTTGCAGTTGGCCGACGGGCTGTGTTTAATGCCAGGGAAAAGGTGTTTTTTTCAACAGAAATTTTATGATTTTGCCCCGCTGGTGTTTCCCCCGTCCCTGCCCGGTGGGAAAGGGCTTTACGGGGCCGCTAACGAAGCCC